AAGTCATTTCATAATTTATCATTAATAACTTTATATAATAACAATAGATCGGGGACATATATTAAGTAATTTCATAATTTATCATTAATAACTTTATATAATAACTCTAGATCGGGACCTATATAAAGTCATTTCATAATTTATCATTAATAACTTTATATAATAACACTAGATCGGGGACCTATATAAATTCATTTCATAATTTATCATTAATAACATTATATAATAACTCTAGATCGGGGACCTATATAAACTCATTTAATAATTTATCATTAATAAATTTATATAATAACTCTAGATCGGGGACCTATATTAAGTCATTTCGTAATTTATCATTAATAACTTTATATAATAACTCTAGATCGAGGACCTATATTAAGTCATTTCGTAATTTATCATTAATAACTTTATATAATAACTCTAGATCGGGAACCTATATAAAATCATTTTATAATTTATCATTAATAACTTTGTATAATAACTATAGAATTGGGACCTATATAAAGTCTTTTCGTAATTTATCATTAATAACTTTATATAATAACACTAGATAGGGGACCTATATTAAGTAATTTTATAATTTATCATTAATAACTTTATATAATAACACTAGATTGGGGACCTATATTAAGTCATTTCATAATTTATCATTAATAACTTTATATAATAACTATAGAATTGGAACCTATATAAAGTTATTTTATAATTTATCATTAATAATTATATATAATAACTCTAGATCGGGGACCTATATAAAGTCATTTCACAATTTATCATTAATAACATTATATAATAACACTAGATCGGGGACCTATATAAAGTCATTTTATAATTTATCATTAATAACTTTATATAATAACACTAGATCGGGGACCTATATTAAGTCATTTCACAATTTATCATTAATAACTTTATATAATAACACTAGATCGGGGACCTATATTAAGTAATTTTATAATTTATCATTAATAACTTGATATAATAACACTAGATCGGGGACCTATATAAACTCATTTAATAATTTATCATTAATAAATTTATATAATAACTCTAGATCGGGGACCTACATTAAGACATTTAATAATTTATCATTAATAACTTTATATAATAACTCCAGATCGGGGACCTATATTAAGACATTTAATAATTTATCATTAATAACTTTATATAATAACTCTAGAATTGGGACCTATATGAAGTAATTTCATAATTTATCATTAATAACTTTATATAATAACTCTAGAATTGGGACCTATATGAAGTCATTTTATAATTTATCATTAATAACTTTATATAATAACTCTAGATCGGGGACCTATATTAAGACATATAATAATTTATCATTAATAACTTTATATAATAACTCCAGATCGGGGACCTATATTAAGACATTTAATAATTTATCATTAATAACTTTATATAATAACTCTAGAATTGGGACCTATATGAAGTCATTTTATAATTTATCATTAATAATTTTATATAATAACACTAGGTCGGGGACCTATATTAAGTAATTTTATAATTTATCATTAATAACTTTATATAATAACAATAGATCGGGGACCTATATCAAGTAATTTCATAATTATCATTAATAACTTTATATAATAACACTAGATCGGGGACCTATATTAAGTAATTTTATAATTTATCATTAATAACTTTATATAATAACTCTGAATCGGGGACCTATATAAAGTCATTTCATAATTTATCATTAATAACTTTATATAATAACACTAGATCGGGGACCTATATTAAGTAATTTTATAATTTATCATTAATAACTTTATATAATAACTCTAGATCGGGGACCTATATTAAGACATTTAATAATTTATCATTAATAACTTTATATAATAACTCTAGAATTGGGACCTATATGAAGTCATTTTATAATTTACCATTAATAACTTTATATAATAACTCTAGATCGGGGACCTATATTAAGACATTTAATAATTTATCATTAATAACTTTATATAATAACTCTAGAATTGGGACCTATATGAAGTCATTTTATAATTTATCATTAATAACTTTATATAATAACTCTAGATCGGGGACCTATATTAAGACATTTAATAATTTATCATTAATAACTTTATATAATAACTCCAGATCGGGGACCTATATTAAGACATTTAATAATTTATCATTAATAACTTTATATAATAACTCTAGAATTGGGACCTATATGAAGTCATTTTATAATTTATCATTAATAACTTTATATAATAACTCTAGATCGGGGACCTATATTAAGACATTTAATAATTTATCATTAATAACTTTATGTAATAACTCCAGATCGGGGACCTATATTAAGTCATTTCATAATTTATCATTAATAACTTTATATAATACATATATTATGGCCAGAACATACCCAGACTTTGAACGAAAAAAATGTTGTTATTGTTCGTGCGACGTTCTTAACTGGTGTCACCATGGTGGTAGAATCAATGTGTAACACCGACGTAACTGATGTTGACATCGTGCACAACGTCGACTGCCAGCTGAAATTATTTAGGTTGTATAATGAGAAATGCATGCTCAGACCCAACCCAGCAATATACTAGCAGTCATTGCTGATATTCAGGCTGTGTATTTGTGGCCTTCTCATTACGTTCGAGTGACAGTTTGTAGATTGTAACTGTCGCACTGAATATCTAAACGTTTTTACCTAACTTCAATGCTTGCCAATGTTCGGTATTGACTATTGCTGTAGTTGACTCGAGGGTTCAATGAACAGGAAGTAACTAGTTTAAATATCCCACAAAACTGCTTTCTGGCATCCCATGACCCATTCAAACGTTATAAAACACACCTGTTTGACATTGAGGCTTACCTAAAAACCGACGATTCGAGCAGTTTTAAGAACGAGCGGTTTCGAAACCACGTTACTGTGTGCGTCACGACTTCGTAAGTTTTACGCAAGCCACTGGGTTGCTAATTTAAATAAATCTATAGTATGCTAATTTTAATATAATGAGGCCAGCCTCGTTTTGGTCACACATCTAGACAAAAAAGATGGCGGCTTGCTATACCAAAGTCTGTAAAACGTTGAAAGTTTAATGCTGGCTAAAAGAAGTGCATTTGCTCGAAATACATGAAATTATTCAGAAACACATGATTTTAACTACAATATATCACCGGTCATTGTTGGTTTGATGTTATATCGAAATAAAGTAAGTGAAATCAAAGATTGATCTTGTCGAATGATCTCGTATGCTAAAATAGTCTTCCCATTGCATGAATGGGAATGTATGGCTTTCACTGATAGGCTGTAAAAACAGGGTTAATCACTTTGAACCCATGTCAAACTCTGTACACGTATTCATGAGTCACTTCAGTACACATAGCGTGGATTTCAACAGCCTCACCCTTGTTAACGTAAATGACGCATTTGTGAACCTACGAAAACAGACCATCGTTTTCCTCATAAAGTGAAACACAGTGCAATAGTAATAACCTTAGATATTTTCTGCATGATTTACAGTATTTTTTACAAGGTTTTCACATAGTTTACGATAAAAACTGAAGCCACAAAACCCGGAAATAGTTTTAGTAACTTGTGTAAACAATTACAATAAATCATTAAATGTATATTTTTTCATATGTTTATTTGTTTTATATGTTATATTCCCTTGTTCATAATAGTGTTATTGTTAGTCAGTATCACTATATGTATAATCAAGATCTCCATTCTCTGGTATTTCTTCAATATTATCAGATATCTCATATTCACACTTCTCTTCATATTCACTGTCCTCTTCAACTTCAATATCTAGAACTTCTTCATCAATAATAATGTCCAGCAAAGTAGACTGTGGCTCACCAGTATTGACACAATGTTGACAACTACATCCAGTTCCACATAGTATGTCTTTCTTTTTGCATTTGCATTGTTTTGTTTTGCAGCATGATTTTTCACATTTGCAGCCCTTAGTAAAGAAAGCAACCCTCTCTTGTATTTTGTTAGCATTTTCTTCACTATCCC